ATTTTTTTATAATAAAATCGGTAGATCAGCTTTATATATACGTAGAAAATGAACAATAGGATTTGATGATTTCAAGGATTTTTATTTCTAGAAGTCTTACATTTCAGTATTTATCGTCAATATCCGTTTCTACATTATTTTTTTTTGTGTAGCCATTAGGTTTATGACCTGTTTTCTTTCTCCGGAAAGGTCTAGACGTGAATTAATCAGTTCTTTAGCATAAACTCGGTATTAATTACACCTTGTACGTTATTAAAAAATATTGTTTTCATTGACTTGAATATACCTGATACTCTGTATACTCAGCATACAAACTTTATTAATATAACCAAATTAAATTTATTTTTTTTTTTTTGCAATTGGGTTAAAACGTAATTTCACTTCTCAAAAATTCGTCAGCAGGTCAAAGACTTCAACGTGTTTACATGTTTAAGCTTATGAAACAGCGTAGTCAGTCAATTTAAGTGTCACGCGAACACAGGTTTTCTTAATTTTTTTTGCTTATTTACTTGGTAAAAAATAAAAATAACGTTATGAAAGAATTATTTATTGTGTATAGAGATTAATAATAAAGGCTGATGGATATCAATATAATAGCAATTGTGTGGTACTGTCATCTTTTTGGTATGCTGGTCAAAGACTAACCCTTTCCGGTCATACTGAGGTTATTGACAGCTAACGGAAGCCTACATCGATGATTTTGCGATCATATCGGGGGAATCCAGTGAACGATGGTGGTCCACGTGCAATGTCGGCCACTGAGCACGAGCGATAATGGGCAACGAAAACAACGCAGAAGTACGTTGAACCTTAGCGGGACGTTACTGTGTTGAATGTGCACGTGTATGTGTGTGTGTGTGTCTAACGCTGGGACATTGTTCAAAAATGTACCAGTTTCGTGATGGACTCGTTACTGTCGGTTGTTGACTCCAGTATGAGTAACACAAAAGTCCCACATCTTACCCAACCCAAAAAATTATTACGATACTATACGATATACATAAGTATAGTAAAACACGTCATTTGTTGTTGAATGAAAATTTCGGCTACGATTTACACAAACCGATCACGTTGTCCTAGTAAACGGTAAATATGTTAATGTATTCGAAGTATAAAATCAACATGATATCTAAAAGCTCTGATAAGAATTATTATTGTTTACATGGAAATAAATCGGAAAGATTTTTTTTGTTGTTGTTTGGTTTAGAGGTCGGTAAATTGGTTCAAGAGGTATAAAGACGAAGAAGAAACGATCGTCAGTGTGGCCGTGTTGAGCTCGCTGACCACAAAGAGAGCCACTCACTTTTCGCATTTCTGTACCAGTGGGGTAAGTGACTCCGCGTGACCTCGGAAGAACGCGCGCGAATCGGCCAAGCAACGATGCCGCCGATGCTCCTCTTGTTGGCCGCCGTTGTTAGGTCACTGGCCCGGAGCAACCTCTCAAAAAACCAGCAGAAGAAGTACGAAGAACGCGCGCGATTCTCGCCGTTTCTATCTATCTCCAATCGACTTACTCTCCACATCTTCGAAGCATCAGAGACACTTCGATGTCTTCGACACTCTGACGATGCCGGAAACGGTACCTTGGACCGTGCGTCACTGAAGGAAGAGACAAGACCACATAGGAATTAATGTCAACGAAGACTTAGTCATCGAAAATCGTTGGAAGATTTCCAACAAAAAAATCTTATTTCATTTATTACATAATACCAAAATCTTATTCATGAAAAGTCATTATATTTAGTTAACTTTTTTACAAAACCCAATTCTAAATCGTACCAAAAAAAAAATTAGCTTATTAAATATTTCATGTAGTTGGAATATCTATAGTTGAGATTGAACTGTTGGAAGTGGGTTGAGTGTTCGGTAAACGAGCACGGGCCATGGTCAGTCGGTGACCCAGGAACCAGCGGAATCGCAGAAAATAAAAACGCCGACATTGAACTCTTTCCATGAACTCGACGCTTGTTCGCCTCCTTGTTATCTCGTTCGACCATCGAGTTCTCGTCAAAAGAAAAATGCGCACAAAGGTACCCGTTAGGTTTATTGGGCAAGGTTAACAGTTTTGAATATTTCAATTTTATTGTGCTTAAATCTACGACTTATTTATTTTTAGCTTTTATTTAACTAAGAAATCACCTTCCCAGAGGGTTAAGTTGTAAAATCGAAAGTGAACCTAACGAATCAGACCCAAACCGAATAAGAAGAAAAAGAATGAAAGAAAAAAAGAAACGTTTTATGACAGTGAAAGTCCTCTGTATTCGGCTGTATCGTTTATGGCCACGGTTCGTCGTGCCTCCTGTTGCCACGCGAAGAGAGAAATTCCAAGGGTTACGGTACCTATAGAAGAAGAGGTCTTTGGCGCGCGCGATAACGTCGTTGCCAACCTGGCAGAGTGGGAAAGGTCATCAAACTGAGCCCGGCCGGGGTGCATCGAACACTTTATTGCCAGGGCAAATAATTATTTTGGATAACCTTGGGATCATCGACAATGCCCAAGCCGTATATGTAATCTTTGAACGTCCAAGGTCCTGCCAACAACCTTCTATTTTTAATGTCGAATTATTCGCACCTTCACGGTCAACCACCGGCCAATAAGCGCTTGTCCACTTCCGCGTGGTGGGGAAATTTTACAATGCCAGGTGGTGGGCTCACATGAATAATAAATAAATCTACAACAGCTTTAAGTTAAAAAACGAAAAAAAAATAATCTTAATGAACACAGATTGTCCCCATTGAATATTAACTACAAACAAGTTGTATTATAAATTATTTACACTTGGTCGTGTATAAATGTGCGTAAATTAGATCGTGATTTGAATTTTTTGAACAAAAAAAATTTGATTTTATTTTCTTATTTAAAGTAGAAGGAATAGAGGACCTTAACCAAATTCGGAACGTTAAAGTGACCTCAGATTTGCTACTGTATAATTTTCTTCACACATAAATCATTTCACAATAAAAGGTCAAGTAAAATTTTAAGTAAACGTTTTTATTTTGTGTTACAATGAGGTTAAATTCGTGTCCTTTTATCGTATGATTCACACTGGAATTTACATTTCTTAAATTTGAAAATATTTGGTAATAGTTCTTTTTTATGCAAATATTTTAGGGAGAAATCCATCTTCATCGTTAAAAAAACCTGCGATATAATGGCAGAAAAATGACAAAGTTGATTTTTCCACACCAGTGTGTGTTAAAACCAGATTAGTTTGTTCAATCCATTAGGAGTGCATTATGATGCTTTGTCTCAATTATCTCTAGGTTTGTTGTTAAAATGATATGTCGATACTGGTAAGGTTGTGAAAAATATGTACAGAAAAATATGTTGCAATAACTTGCTGATACCGATTTGTAATTGTTTCTATGAGTGTCAATGTGCCAACTTTATTCTGTAGCTATGAACAGGAAATCCGAGCTTAATGATATGTTTGCTACTGCTTATCTATATCAGGTTGTATTAGATTGGAATGATATGATCATTGTCTAAATTAACTTTAATCGAACACCAATAAACATTTCATGAACAACATTTTCAAAATAGATGTACTAATTGGAAATAAAACTTAAACTAGAAATTTCCGTGTTAGTGTGATAAATCTTCAAATTAAATTTATGTATTAACATAAACGCATTGTAACATGAAACTATAAAAGGTGGGCAGATTGAGATGGGCAAAATATGTGATAAGAAGTGAACCTAAATAGAAAATATAGGTATTAGAAGTAGAAGAAGACGGTGGAGAGATAGAGAATGCCAAGAAGGTGACTATACTAAATTGGAGAACATGAAACAAGGGACAAGAAAGAATGGAGATTGAAGCTTGAGAAAATCAAAGCTGTGCATTAGAGCTGTAAATTTTTCTATGCGAATTTTAAAAGATATAAGATTGAAATGTATCTTTTGAATAATATAGGAAGCTTTTGAAATAAAAGTATTTTTTAAATTCAATTGTGTTTCAACTATGGTAACTCTGGGTCTGCCGAAAAACGAAGTGAAAGGATTCCGTCTCGATTTCGCCGCGAGAGTGAACACGAACGGCCTTGGCCGTTGCGTTGCAGCCTGTCTGGGTAATTCAGTCAAGGTTCGGGTGCGTTGAACCCACACTTCCTCGGCGTTCGCGGTAGCTCCCCCACTCGAGGGGCCCCCGGAGGAGGAGCGCGTCCGCTCCGGGACCCAATCGGAGCGACTCCGGGCGCGCCCCGATTGGCCGACCGTTCGTTCGCTTGTCAGTGACCTCCAACTTCAAAATGCGATGAACCCGCAAGTTCGCTAAAATGCCGAGGGCCCCCGGTCCCCCACCCCACCTTCGGACCGCGGTCGGATCACAGCGCCCTTCAGGTAGTAGCACGGTCTTTATTTACTATACTCCCGAGTTCTTCAGGCCCAGTCAGTGTCGTGACTTTCACTATCTTCAGTTCCTCCGCAGCATTTGGAAGTGAAACAAGTGTGCCTTGGACTTGACTGCGGAACCGCGATCGCAGACGTCCGTGAGCTTTTGGTCTCTTCTCCTATTTAAGGGGTTGTGACACTTACAAATATCGTTTTGATCTTGTGCTTCTCTCTGTGATAAATCGATAATTTTCATCGATGACAAAAACTATTTTCCGGATTTTACCCTCTTTCATACTTGGATTATTTTCGTGATTTTCTGTGATTTTATTGTGCTTCAAAAATGATCGTTTCACCAGATAGTAGTGTCAGCACCCAAGATATGGTTCAATATCCAGAATCAACAACTACAAATATACCCAATATCCCTCATAGGGAACCCACATTAAACTTAGGTACGTTTACCTTCATCTAAAAGAGTTGCGTCACCGCGAGAAAGACTTTCTCCAATCAGATGTATTAAGTAAGCTCTTGCAGCGCTCGATGGAGAAAGTCGCCATCACGCTTTCTTCTTCCAAAGCCATTTCACCTCTTTCTACTTTTTTCCAACCGCAATTTTATTTTATTTTTTGAATTAATCTACAACACCATTTCTTTTTTATTTGTAGAATTTGATGGAACCACTGTTTTATGCCGAGTTTGCGGTGATAAAGCTTCTGGATTCCACTACGGAGTACATTCCTGCGAGGGATGCAAGGTAAGTTTCTCTAAAACTCATTTTATTTTGTCCCTTACAAAATTAACACAGCCATCATTATAATACCCTTGATTTTTTTTTAAACGAGGAAATCGAATCTGAAAAAAACCTTGATATTTCGGTTCGTACAATTAAATTTTTTTTCCTCTTCTACTTCACGAAAGGCCACAGGAAGTTAAATGTTTTTCAAGAACACATCTCTCACTTAATATACTATATGTATATAACATTTTTAAAGTTTTGTATATTAATTTGGTTGTTTTGTACCTGTACATGGTTGTGTGCGCAAAAATACGGTTGAAGGTCGGTTACGATGAAGTCAATGGCCACGCGGTGCCTTCTATGCCACTACCGAGTTTTTTTTTGGTCTCTGGTGACCTAATACACTCATTGTATTCCAATAAATATTATTTTATGGTTCGCGTTATCTTGGTCTGTGTAAATATTTGAGATTGTAATAATAGTTTTATATCTATTTTAAAGCTCCCCCGATGATTTATCACTTTATTTGAAAAAATTAATTAATCTTTTGATATGAACCATTAAACATCTGCCGGATGTGGAAGAAAATGAATTCAGAATCTCAAACAATCTAAAATTCCAAAATCTGGGTAGAATTTCTAAAAGATATCAAGGTCAGTATACCTGATGCGGATAACACCTGCTTTAACCAATCTCACCCCCTTAATGGACAACGCACGAATTCGCAACCCTACATCTCCAATCTTTTATACCCTTTCGATCGAAAGGAAGAAGTAAAAAAAACGAACCCTTTTCTCTCACAAAAGATTCTCAAATTTCGATTTCTACCTGTATCAAAAATCGCATTTTCTCCAAAAAAGATATGCCATCTGCCGAAATATAAGGTAAAATCGCCAACAGAGTGCGCGGTTCTTTTAAGTTCTTTACCCTCTCTCGTCCCCCACCACCTTTTTGTTGCCTCAGTTCATCGACTCGGCGAGTGGCGGCGCGCCGGTCGTTGATCGGTGCAATGACCGACGTTCGCGCTTTTGATTCAGCGCCCTCTCGCGGAATCCGGCAGTGTTCGGACGTGTAACGGAAAGTCGCGGTTAGTGCACTTTGGCTAAGCCACGTTCTATCTTTACTTACTCTATCTACAACTTGCGTTTGAAATTTCGCACCTGCCGTTTTAAATTCTATAGAAACGACGTTGCGTTGAAACTCGCTAACGATCGGCGATGATTCTTCTTCGCCGGTTATGTTTCATCGACGTCATCATTATTTATCATCGGGTGACGATGATTACATACACTACGATGTGGCTAAATGTATAAGTTCAGCAACCTTTTGCAACTAGAATAGTTTGCCTTTTATGGGTTACTTTTTTCTTTAGTTGTTATGATATTGATTATAACGATGTAGTGTAGCTAAATGTATAAGTTCAGCAACCTTTTGCAACTGGAATAGTTTGTCTTTTGTGGGTTACTTTTTTCTTTAGCTGTTTTGATATTGATATTGTAAATTGATTGGGGTCAAAGAACTTATAAGTATAAGTGAATATACATATTAATATGTAGATAAATATTTAGGTTAAATCATACCTAAACAGATAATGAATGAAGATTTTATTTAAAATTTATGATAAAGAAAAATCATGATTTCCTAGAAAATCAAGTTGGGTTCATTGACCAACATTTTAAACACATAAACAAAATTAAGTAACAGTAAAATTGAAGCAAAACAAATTCATGAGAGGTCAATTTTTTGCGTTTTAATCTTAAATTTTTTTTTTTAATTCAAGATGTTTTAATTAGATTTGTTTCGGTGGTTCCGTTCTAAAATCGGAACGGGGACAGAACGTAATCGGCGCGAAAAAGGGTCCCAACGACATCGCTTGTCCACCGTGTCCGTTCTATTCGCGTCGACGACGAGATAAAAATATTCAGGCCACTCGCCCCGAATAGTGAACTTTGTAATACAGGAATGTATAGTACGGCCGTTGAACTTTGCGAATGGATAGATCATGCGCAAACCGGACCGTTATCGCAATGTAGTGCGGCCCCAACTGCCACCACCGCCGCCGCCGCTGCCTCTGCTCCACGGGCTGCATTGTCGCCGGTACAGAGCCAGACCTAGATTCAAGTGCGTTGACCCGCCGCAAGACGGCGCTCCGAAGAAAAACAAAAGGGAACGCGCCGATTTTCACCAAACGAACCCCGAAACGACCTTCTTCAGGGGATGCAAATTAATTATTTTTTGACCCCAATTTGATTCGATTTTAAGTTCGATGCACTTTGCTGACCTTAGACGTAGGCGATTAAAAACTCCACCCACAATTACAATTCTAAGTAATCTTAGATGATGATTTAACGTTAGGGTTCATTGCCTTTTAAATGGAGTTTTCTAGAATTTATCATAACGAAAATGTAATAATGTTACAAAATGTTACAAACAAAACGGATTATTGATGGTGGATGTGTAGACACAGTAATAGATGTAACATCTTATCGTGATGGGTGGTTGTTCGGGAAGACCGCAACGCCACCACGCGTCGTCAACGACAACAACGACGTTGAGGTAGTGCGAAACGGGGCCACCTATGACGTAACAGTAGACAGTAAATGACGTCACACGTTCGAGAAATTCACGCGATCGGGCGCAGCAGAGGCGGCGTGGCGTGCCAGGCAAAAGTCTATGACCGGTCAATCTGAGTTGGCTGGGGTTCGTCGACCTCCTCGCCAACTTTGTATATTACCGCCTCCACCGCCTCACCGTGCTGTTTATTAGTTATATACCTATTACGGTGAAACGTAGTGGCCGCGATCCACTTTCGGTAGAGTACTTTTTTTTCGATTTTTTTTTGTTGTAAACAAACGATCGGTAATGTTTCGCTTGAAGTAGGCGGGGGGCGTTCATTTTTTAGTCGTTATTGTATTGCTCAATTTCGAACGGTTTTGGTCAAACTTTTTAGATCTTATGTAATTTTTAACTTTGACACAATTAATTATTGTAAAAGTCAAAAGATTTCTAGATTTTTCTTTTTTTTTTCTTCAATTCAAAATGTAGGTCAATTTGAAATCGAAATGTACTCGTTGCTTCATAATTCTAGAATATTTCATTTTCTGTCTAAATCCCTTTGATTAATTTACAATGCATTAATTTTCAAAAAAATTATGTTTTGATAACTGGAGTTCATTGACCCTTTGAAGTTTCATGGGTTGGTGACCTGCTCCAGCCGCATTAGCGACCCCGGCAGTACCTGAAATATGTGCCACTTTTGTGGCCGTTCATCCCGGTTGAAATTGCACCCAAAAAAAATTTTTTTTTGTACTAGATAATGAGAAAACACGGTGACGTTTGGCGTCTCGCCACTAAAGACTCTAGTAGTCCCCGTTATTAGATTTTTTTAGCAAATGACGAAACGTATCGTTATCTTCGTCTGTTGCGTTCGCTGTTCGAACGAGTGAGACAGAGATCGCCTACTTTTACTTTCAAGTGATCTGGCCTCGCTAGCGCACTTTGGCGGGTTAACAACCGGGAATTGGGTCATCTGGCAAACTGTTGGTGAACTCGCTCACCGGGTTCAGTGTTCTCTCGGTTATCGTGGCGCTTAGACGTGTGCCCCGCTCGATGACTACTATTTCTTACTATAGTGGTGTCGAGGGAATTTTTCGCGATCGAAAATGATGGCTGTGTTGAATTGTACCACCGAGTCTCTTCCCGTTCCCGAAGAACAACATTGTTCTGGGGAAGACTCGAGCTCATCTGGTTGCGATAGCGATGATTGCTTAAATACTGATTGTCCTTCACAGGGTTTCTTCAGAAGGAGTATTCAACAGAAGATCCAATACAGGCCGTGTACCAAGAATCAACAATGTGCAATCCTTAGAATTAATCGCAATAGGTGTCAGTATTGTAGGCTGAAAAAATGCATTGCTGTTGGAATGAGTAGAGATGGTAAGTAATTATTTATTTTATCTTGATACAAAAAAAAAACCAAAAAATAATTTGGGGTGCTAAAGCTGAATGTAGTGGGAGGGAGGTTAACGGCACGAAATTCGGAATATAGGGCAAATCTGGGGAAGGTGAATGACCTACAGCTGGTGCTGCATCTAACCCTAAATTTGAAAATGTTCACTCTTGCATAATTTGAGGTTAACCGCTTGTTTTATTCGTTTGTTTAAAATTGCGAAAACAATAGAAAGTCGCGTTGCGACGAAAGTGTTCGAGAAAGTCTCGTTTCGTAACCGCGAATTTCTTCGTGAGGAGAAATCCCTCGGTCGTCGACTCTAGGCGGGTAGTGCGACGGCCGGCGTCGCGACGCCGCGGGAAGCGCACGCGCCTGCGCCCTCCTTTTCCGAGGTGAACACCCCGCTCACCAAAACAAAGGAGACATCCGAGCTCGCGGTCGATAGCGATTTATTCCTGGCGCCTACCGAATAGGCAACCAAGTGAGCAGTAGTGAGCAGTAGGTGGCGCCGGCGACGCTTTTGAATCAATCATAACCGTATCGCGAGAGAGGGAATAAAGGATGGAGCGAGAGGAGATGACCTTCGTCGCGAAACAACCGAGCGACGACGACGCCAGCGCCGCGCGTCGCGTTTCAAGTTCAAGGGTGATGGAGGGGAAGCCCTGGTGGGGGGGACACGCATAGAGGGGAGTCACGCTCGTCGACCGCTCAGCAATCTGTAGCGAGACACAGTTCGCGTAGTCGGGAATGCCAAGTCGCGAGCTTAGCAGCCCGATATTAGCACGCTCACATGTGATAGGTGAAAGTGCCACCCAGTGCAAAATGTGCGAAGAGTTACCGATCCTGAAGGGGATCCTCAACGGGAACGTCAAATATCATAACGCACGTAGGTGTCTTATTCGCGCCGATTATTCATAATAAAAAATTAATATAATAAAACTCCCTTGGATGTTAAATCCCGCGTAAAGTCCGCTCACTTTCTCTCGAAGGGGTAACGGTCGACAGATGCGAGACAGCTGTGGCACGCGTCATACACCTGGTTGTCCCCTCGAATTTTCGACGTGTGCTACTTACGGTTTCTTACGAACTTGTTCTTTTTTGTTGCAGCTGTGAGATTTGGTCGCGTACCCAAACGTGAAAAGGCTAGGATTTTAGCTGCGATGCAGCAAAGTTCCAACTCCAGGTCCTTGGAAAAAGCTGTCGCCGCCGAACTCGAAGACGAACAGAGGCTTTTAGCCACAGTCGTCAGGGCGCACGTCGACACTTGTGATTTCACCAGAGACAAAGTAGAACCTTGGCTGACAAGGGCCAGAGAACAACCTTCATACACCGCATGCCCTCCAACCTTGGTGAGTATTCGACACGTTATTGATCGAATATTTTAGCCTTGCATTAATTTAAAAAAATTTCTAATTTTTTGTTGTATTTTTGTTACAGGCTTGCCCGTTAAATCCAAACCCTCAACCTTTAACCGGCCAACAAGAACTCCTTCAGGACTTCTCCAAACGGTTTTCACCCGCGATCCGCGGCGTGGTTGAGTTCGCGAAACGTATCCCGGGCTTCTCTCTACTGGCTCAGGACGATCAAGTAACATTGTTAAAAGCGGGAGTGTTTGAGGTGCTCTTAGTCCGTCTCGCGTGCATGTTCGATTCGCAAACTGCGAGCATGATCTGTTTAAATGGACAAATGCTAAAACGGGACTCTATACACAATAGTTCGAACGCGCGATTCCTTATGGACTCGATGTTCGATTTCGCGGAGCGCATGAACTCTCTCCAGCTATCTGATGCTGAAATCGGTCTCTTCAGTTCCGTGGTGGTGATCGCCGCCGACCGTCCGGGCCTGCGCAACACAGACCTCATTGAAAGAATGCACACCAAATTGAAAGCGGCCCTTAAAGCAGCAATCAATCAGTTCCATCCCGGCCAACCAGACATCCTTAACAAACTAATGAAGAAAATCCCAGATCTCCGAACGTTAAACACTTTGCATTCAGAGAAATTATTAGCGTTTAAAATGACCGAACAACAACAAATGATGCAACAACAACATCAGCCACATTTAACTCCAAATTGGGGATCTCCTTTAGAAGAGGAGAGCAGTAGTAAAAGTCCGGCTGCCCTTTCTTGGTCTTCTTCATCTGATGTGACGATGGACGAAGCAAAAAGTCCATCCGGCTCAGTTTCGAGTACCGAGTCGATGTGTTCTGGAGAAATGGTCAATTTAAACGATTATCATCATCAACCTCAACCACCTCATGTCAGTGCGAATGTTGCTAATGCTCCATTATTAGCAGCCACATTATCCGGTGGTATCTGCTTGCATAGGCATCGTGCAAATTCTGGGTCGACTTCCTCATCGGGTGACGATGAATTCGCGTCAACATCGCATCTCCTTCATAATGGATTGACGATCACACCCGTATCTAGGCCTCAACACCCTCGATTTAGAAAATTAGATTCTCCTAGCGATTCTGGCATTGAATCTGGCACGGAAAAGTTAGATAAACCTAGCGCGCCAACATCGGTGTGTTCTAGCCCGCGATCTTCAATCGAAGATCACCATATCGTCGAAGATATGCCTGTATTGAAAAGGGTGCTGCAGGCACCACCTTTATACGATACAAATTCATTAATGGATGAAGCTTATAAACCGCATAAAAAATTCAGAGCGTTAAGAAACAAAGATTCGGCTGAAGCCGAGCCCATCGTGGTGGTTTCACAACAATCCCCACTTCATAACCAGCTGGCGTCGACGTCTCAATCCAGTTTATCGAGTACGCATTCGACGCTGGCGAAGAGTTTAATGGAAGGGCCGAGGATGACGGCTGAACAGATGAAGAGGACAGATATCATCCACAACTACATAATGAGGGTAGAACCGTCACCTCACGTGTCGGCGTCGCCAACGGCGTGTCCCTACAAAAATAACAGTTCGTTATTGCAACCGGCGTGGGCAACAAGCGTTATAACGACAACTTCCCGTCAACCACATATTGTGAGTGCGACGGTTTCGCCACCATCTCCACCCCAACAACAAGATTACGCCCGCCTCTACGTACACCCCCAATCACCCCACTCAACGTCACCGGCGCCGCCACAAGTTCGGTCGCCGGTGTCACCATCCACAACGTTATTGGGGGCAGCTCCAAGTCCGAAAATGGTAGAATTACAACTTGATATCGCGGACCCGCAACAACCTCTCAATCTGTCCACGAAATCTCCCAGTCCGTCTCCACGACCATTGAAGGTTGTCACGTTAGAGGTGTAAAAGAAGCGCGACGTAATGAAATGAATTTTTTGTATGTAAAAAAAGTACAAAGTGGAGTGAGTGACGGACATCACGGTGTGCCACTTTCGGTCGCAAGAAAACCAAATAATTTATTACTGTATATTATGGATGTTGTATTTCGTGTGTGACCCCTTAGAGTTACTCGTCCCAAATCTCCCGCCCTCTCCCCCTAGCTGTATACTTAGCCTATTACTTCCGCCATTACCATACTTCGGGGTGACTCGTATCTGTACATAGTGGACCAACCCCGTGTCGCCCTCAAACTACCTATTTCTTAGTTAAGCATAAGAACAATCACTAATTTAACATTGTAAATTGGATATTTATGATTATGAACGAAGAGGAAACAAAACAAAAAAAAATCGAGTTGGTATCAGCACCAATCCTATTCATACAATTATTATTATAATATAATTATTATTATTAAACATTATTAATTAATATATTATATGTGATAATTTTTTTTTCTTTGTAGAGAGAAAAAAAAACGTGTATAAAGTTTTTCTTTTTGTGTTACGTATCTCAATTTTTCGGTTTATATCGTCATAATTTTGTTTTTTTTTTTTTCATCATCGTCCATTCGCTGCGTGTTGTATCATTGAACCATTCATCATTCAATCATTATCATCATCATCAAACATCGTTTCCTTCATCCCGTCGTTTTAGGTAGCGGGCCGGAGTTAGGGCGCAGACAGACTGAGAGCTAATTATCGCTCGCTTTGCGCGCTGGCGACGGCTCGGCATCTCTCGAGACGTGACGTTTTTCTGTCCTCTCAAACGGCTCGTACCAAAAACACGTGTAAAGCCGTCACAGAACTATAAATAAACTTGCATAGAAATTAATTACGTCATTTGTCGTTGTAGAAGGGCGTCGGACGACCGATCTCACGGGCTCGCATCCGCGTGTAAAAAAAGAAATTCAAAAAAAAAATAAAATAAACCCTAAAGTTAAAAATCAAGAAACGAAAATCGGCCTCGTTCTGTCGTCCACGACGTAATAGTAATCGTAAATGTAACATTCATCCTGTTATTTTCCTTTTTTTTCTGTAAGTTGGAGAGCTTGTTGAAGATGTCAGAATAAACCATGTCTGGTGATATTAAAATTTTTTGTGTATTATTTTATTTCCTTAATTTGATTTAAAAAGTGTTTTAATAAAAGATATATATGACAAACTAATGAGTTGTTACATATAAATAAAAAAAATCCCATGCTAAAAGTTACAGGTAAGTTAATATAAAAATCTTAGTGAATAGCAAATTACAAAGTGAAATGAAAAGTTAAAAAGAACTTTCTTTTAACTTTGAAAGTAAGTATCATGAATCGTTTCAAAATTAAGTTAAGAACATAATTCTAAAAATTAAGACCATTTTTTTAATTAAAATTTAAAATCAAATTTCACTTTCATTTAAGAAAGCTAAAAGCTCAACGACTTTTTCATCGATATTAACCGCGCGGAGTCAATGCTCGATGAGCGCAGCTATTGGAAAAGCAAAGTGCTTTCACTTTTAGAACTATGCCGCGACAAAAAAAGGCTAAAAAAGAAATAGGAGAAATTCGCGTTTGGAGAAATGATGCGTTTGTGGAATATCAACGGTTGTTTAGAGAGCATTAGTGCTAAATAGAAAACGATTTTTTGCTTTTCAAACTTTTTTTTAAACGTGGATATTATTAAAAAAAAAAAGATGTTATAGGAGTGTTGTTCCCTTGGCCATTTCAATGAGTGCCACGTAAAGCTGTTAACAATGCGTTGAGTGTGTATATGTTTGTGTCGATACTCGTTCAGGTCAGGTCACAGGGGCACTTTCAAGGTCAAAAAGCCCTTTTTACACGCGTTTCAAGGTTGAATGCTTGTTACTCAGCGATGCATTGTCATTTAATTTTTTTATTTTACATTTAAAGTATAAAGTTATAATAATAATATAATTATTATAAGTGTGATATTTAAGTTTCATTATGTAGAAGTGATTATGTATCAAAATAATTCAACATAAGTAAAATCCATGGTGATGAAAATGGAAACCTTTTGACTTTATGATGATTTTTTACAATAAAAAGTTGCCCCTTTTAAGAATGAGGGAGTCGTGTAAACCTAATTAATATAATTAACAGACGATGAGGAATTATTACCTCGTAAAGAATCAATTAAAAATGATACAGAAATCTATAAAAGTTCTGACTTTGACCTAGTTATGCTAGTGTGAGAATAACTCATAGTAATCGTACTTTTAGATGTTGTATATAGGGAGTATATAGGGACAATTTTCTATATTCTTGATATTTCATTCAAGTTAGTCATTTAATTCATTAATATTTAATTCTTACGTAAATAATTTATTCTTCTTTGTGTAATTCACTATTCATACAAACACACATAAAAGAAAGCCGATAAGAATTTTTTTTTGTATTTAGCTTATTTCCTCACAGTCTCTATTACACAATCGACATATCTACCTCCTTATCCTGAATGAATTAATTATTTTGCTGGGAAGTTTCTAACGTGAAATGCAAAAATTATGATTACTACAGTATTTGGATTTTCAGGTTATAATCTTGTATTAAACGTTTTCCCAAAGATAGGCGGAATACGTTATGTATAGTCCAATCAAGCGATGAAAACTTTAATTAAATAATGCACCGTCATTTCAAAATATATTGTACATAGTAATATTAATAATATTAATTTTATAACGAGTATTAGGCAAATTTGTTAAGTGTTATGACAATTGAATTTGTTATCGATAATGACTCCACTAGATATTGATATGATCGTTAAAATATCAGGAAAAGTAAATTTGTTTATATGGAAGAGGTTGGGTAACTTTTCAGAAAAACAAAAAAAAAACTTCCTCTTCTTAATTTTACTAAATTATGGCAAAACAAAAAAACTAACGGTATATTTCCTTATCAACAAGATAATCCTTCAGCAGTTCGCTCGACTAAGTAGTAGCATTGCATGGACTCATTGTATGGTCTGGGCATTTCAGAATTTACCAACATCAACAATTCAAAATCTAATTTTAATGAATTGCAAAATGGTATTTGACAACGTCATCGGTCAAAACGATGTACTGGTGAAATTGGGAAAATTAATACACCCACGTTAGAAATTCTGTTTGCTCATGGCAAAATATTTGCTCATTTAGCTTGCACTGATTAATGACAAATTTGCAACTTTCATATATTTATTTTATAGATCGTAGTTAAGTATGACTAAATTTGTTGCAAAAAAAACATGAGTGATTTATTAGAACTCTTGAGTTCTTTTAATTATGGACTTTTTTGCTTTTTTCGCTATGGTTTTAAAAGTAAAATTTTATATCAAACGAATTAATATTTTTTCTATTTTATAGTAATTTTTGCATCAAAATCGGCTTAATATAATACACTTAACCTAATAAGATTTGAATTCCTCGTATAATTACAATCCATTAGGTTCATTTCCCCTTCTCCCTTTAGTTCTGTACAAACAACTAAGGATCAATCGAGGGAAGGAATTGGGCCAGGGATAACGGCCAGGGTTAGGTCCTTTTAATGGGTCAAAAAGGAGGAAATGCGTTCGAAGTAAACTTTCGATGTCAACCGAGGTCAAAATAATCTCTTAATTAATTCGTAATCCCATTTTTAACATTCTTTAACAGTCCTCATCATTTCTAAAAAAATATTTTTGAGACAACTTAATATTTTTATTTTTTTTAATAATGTGTCGCAACATTTGACCCAATTCCCTAATTTAAAACCTCTTTCGAGATAGTGAAACAATTATCATTTGTGGGTTAAAAAATGTGTTCTGGGTTGTTCATAGCTTGTTGACTGGTATTTCATTCTCCGGTAGTATAAGAGAGGTTTAATGGTAGTGTAACGGCAGCCGCAAGAAGTTCCTTTCACCATGTCAGAAATCGTGCCAACAATAACACGATACGTTACGAATCCTAAACCAACCTGATGCGGTTGAAATTTATTGGTGCGCATACAATCTTATTAAAAAGACCGGTGGGCGTTGTTGCGAGCAATTAGGAGTAAACAATAATTATGTAAGGCGATTTAAATGACCCGAACGTTGTAATTGTGTCAATTGTATTCGGTTTGTTCAAGCGATTATTGCGTTATATTCACCAACCTTGATCGAATTTTATTCTCAAAACAATTATTTAATTATTAAATTAACGCAACGATGTATGCAAAATTTTGTTTTGATGGTCGAATTATTATAGATCATATGATTGAGGTGATTTATATCTCTAAAAATATTACGAAAAAATATTGGGTTTAGGCGCAGTTCGATAATAAATCAATAACAGATTTAGTAAACAATTTTTTTGCGAAAATAAAATCGATATGCATCATACAAAACGATTAATTAAAAATGTTAATATGATCTTTCAAAAAAGAAGTCATTAACTTCACCACAATTACATACTTGAAACCAATTAATCGGCCGATTAAGATATGAACTAACCACACGATTGAGCTATTAACCTCCTCAGAAAGCTTCGGATACACCTCCATAACTGCTGAGCGCTTCTCGTTAATTAATAGTCTAAACAGGTCGATTGAACTCTCCGACTTTGAACTTTTACCGTTTAACGTTGAAACGATTCCTATTAAGTCTCCTAAGTTTCTAGAATGATTTTTTTTAAACCAAAGTGCAAAGCTTAAAGGAACGTACTATTTGACATTTATTGTTAGTATTTTCTGGTTCGCTGAACATTCGGGTCAAAGGTATACAACACAAACGTTCAACATTTTTTTTAATTCCTCATTTTTTAGTCCTTCTTCAACTGCAAGAAGCCGTTGATTAATGTATTGCGGTTGGGTAATGTTAATAACTCGTGACGAAAGCCGGTGCCAACTGCGTGAGCTGTCTCATTAAAACCCGTTTTATTCGCACGATTGTGGTGGTGATTGAACTAACATTATTGGATCGAAATATTAAAAGATTAAGGTTGTTTTGACGTTTTAAAAGTTTTAGGATTAACTTTTAAAATCTGTAAAAAATCGGTTATCGAAAAATATCTTTTAGTTTTTTACATATACTACTTAAATTCCCTCTAAGTATCATGCCTAAAAGGTTATTATTCTAAAAAAAACTGCATCATAATTATTTTCATGGAACAAGAACGCAGAGAGTTAAATTGAAGCAAATTGTGAGCAAATTCCTGATACAGAGTTTGGGAATCGATACGTTCGAAGTATTTACGTAAAGGTTGAAAATTTATATTTGTTCAGGTAACTTTCTGAACCGTGAAACTTCCCGTTATTATTTTGTAAAAGAACCACTTCAACACAATTAAATTTTATTTTTTTTTAGTTTTCACGTAGACACACAAATAATACATACATTTTAAATATTAAAAATAGCTGAACTTGTGTACGGCCAATGTTTTAAAACTCCCTAGAGATTACCTAGAGAAACGAACACAAATGAAACTTGAAGGATATAATCTTAATGCTGAGAAGACATTCGAGAGTTTGCAAAGCAGTTGGCCGAAAATGAATTATTTATTATGCACCTAAACTGTACAAGACGTATGACATTGTGCATCATGTTTGTGCGAACTTTGGGGACACTGCCATCGTAGTTAAATCATCTTGTTGAATTAAGCATCTTGAAATTCATAATTTAAATTTATTTATTATAACGTTTATAATTAAATAAAGGTTAAATTATTTAAATTAAAGGCCATTATATGTAGTAGCTAATAATAGTATTCTACATATACAAACAAAAAAATCGTTCTTACCTTTTTACAATAAAGTTTTATGGTTTGCGTTGAATTTCTCCTTCGAGATCCTGCTGTAGGTGTTGTGCGTGCATGTGTTAGATGAACAACACAATCGGGTAGGAATAATTTCTCTTTTCTTAACTTTTAATACTTTTGATTTATACGTTTGTGTTGGGTTGACTCATCTCAGTTCTTGATATTTGGAATCCTGACATTCATGTGAACTGTCATGAGAGACACAAGTTTAATTTTACCTGTTTACACAGTTCTGAGCCACTTCGAACACAATGTTTCTTTAGTGTCATAGATTCTTTTCATTCCAGTAGCATATGCCAGTTAAGATGAATACCGTCGATTTAGATGCTAATAAATTACTATT